TGATAATTTAGTCCGTCAGGCAGGAATTGTACGTGAAACTGAACAGTGTATTGACACCAGAAAGTATGGATATAGCTAATGCTTCATGTTATTCAACATATTGCATTATATTTGAAAATCATTTTACTAACGGCACACCGCGACGAATTTTCCACATATGAATATTACAGTCCGTGCCAATTTAGCAACTTAAAACATATTCTGGCAGAGTGTAACATGTACATATTCTAACGCAGAACGCACGTATATACATTGTTAAAGGGAAACTTCCAGGACACATATTACGATTGGGTAGAAATAATAAAACCTTACCTGTAAACCAAGAATGTGATACTCAGGCGAATTGTATGTTTAAGTTATGTAGTGTAGTGTCGGATACAGAACTACCGTAGTAAATGATACCAAGTTACATTATTCATAACAGCGCGGCCAAGGTACAAGGTTACAACATAAATTTGATAACGTGTAGAACTAGGTTCATTGTTCAAGTAAGGCACATTGTAAGCAAACATATGACAATAGCAAAGTAATAAGTATTTATGGCTTACCTTTATACAAACAGAAGGATTCCAGGGTCAGACTGATGTATGTTTCGGACCCTGGTGCTTATATAGCTGAACCCTCTGCTTGTATGATATAACCAATTTCCCTGATATGGAGACGGCGTTTTACCTGTTTTTTGAAAAGTTGTGCCTTCGAAATATTACCCAATTTTGGCAGATAGCTTTAGAGATTGTACTTGCTTTGGCTGTGTGTTATCGGAAAAGTTGAGTAATGACCAGTAATGTACGTGGTTAAGCATCCAAATCTACGTCTGTCTAATTTTACAGCATGTACAGGCGTGAATATTTGACCATTAAGTTGTGGCCGGAGTGGTCACAACAAACACAGGAGTGTATATTCAATTAGGCTTTTAGCGGCATGGGTAATAACGGCGGCATAGACAGCTGTCAGTTACGCAAGTTGCCGATAACCAGTTCCTTACAACGTGAATACTTTAACAAAGTGTGAGAGATATAAAACCGACTTTGTTGAGAAATATCTGAATAATTTGAGGTAAAAGTAGGCACATTTTGCAACTGTTATAATTGTTTCCTTTTTCTTTTCAACACAAATTCCATGTATTTTAGCGGTAATGCTATGTTTAGGGAATTATCATTTGCAGAAGCCCTCGGACTTTTTCAGCTGCCCTCCTTTGTCGGTTAGTTAATGAAAGGCCTTTGTATGCCTGATGTAAAAGTTGATAAATCAACAGATGTTGAGACAAGGCTCTTAGTAAATCTAAAGCATTCATATTTGCATCCTGTTGTCAGTCAAGAGTGGAAACTAGGAAGACTGAGAAGACTGGCAGATCCAGTGTCCACAAACAGAATCACCACAAAGTAAGTTATGCTTATGTCGTGAGGATGAGCATTGGTGTGTGCCACTGTGTGTGTGTGTATGTGTGTACATGTGTGTGTTTACATCAGGAGGTAATTTGTAACGTTGATTGAATAATTCCTTCATGGTAATTGATGTTATCGTAATTGTCTTAGAGACACTGTATATCTTTGTGGAAAATGGAAAATATTTACACATGTTGAGGTAAGGCCCATGACACACCCGGCGTAAAAAGTCGACATATAACGAAATATGGCCAATCTTACTCCTAACTTGAAATGGTTTGTTTCATCACACAATAGAGGGCCTTGGTATGCCTCATGTCAAGATTAATAAATCAACATATATTGATGTAAGGTTCTTGGTAAATCTGACGTTAAATGTTTAAAATGACATATGTAAGGATCAGGCTAACGACTTGCCTGCGGTAAAATGTTCTATATTGACATGAGTAGTAGTACAATGATGGTTCTGCATCACATGCGGCTTAGAGGCTTATTTATGGGACTGAAGGCGCCTAGCCCCATTCCTCCAAAACTGGGCTCCGTCTATAGCAGCGCAAGAGATTCTAGTGCAGAAACTGTCTAGAACTAGTTTTAAGCTGAGCTCCGTCTATACTAGCTACGGTAGCGCAAAGGATATCTGAAACCCGTCATTCCACTTCCGGCTTAATACTCAGTGCACGTTTGGTGGCTTTTCTCACCTCGAATCCATGTCTCATAAAATGCAAACACGATGCCGGTAGGTAGCTTGAACCAGGCTGAACACCATACATTAGTTGACGAAAGCTTAAAAAAAGTGTAGAGGCCACAATCCATTATTTATCTTGAGCAGGGCTCCGTCTATACTAGCCACATTAGCGCAGAACAAGTCTCGCTCGCCTCGAGCACGTTTGGTGGATTTTCACCTCGAATCAGGGTGTAAGATACAACCACGATGTTCTTTTGTAGTCTAGATAATGCTGATCATGATGCATGCGTCGATGGACGCTGAAAACAAGCTTAGAAGCCACAATCGGCTAATTTAGAATAGGGTAACATTAGCTGGCAAAGCGTATGAGCTATATATGGCTTGAATGCACCACCACTTGCAGAGTGAAACTGCCGGTCTGAAGGGGACACGCTAGACATTGGAGCTAGAGGTTTAGCATTCGAATCCCAGGAAGAAACTTTTATTTTTTTTATATTTTCTTTTGGGGGGGGTACTCAAACTAGTATTTAGGCTAGACCATAATGATATCTACAAAGAAGTTTAACGTGAATCTTTTATGGTATCTTTTTTCTGGGTCAGGAAGGTTTTAATGATTTGTTATCGGGATTGTTCTATGAGCTTTTTTTTCTCGTCTTCGCTGATGCCAGCGGTTTTCCGAGTCTTGGTGCGAATTGCTTCCTTCATGTGGTGGTATTTCGCGATTTCCGACATCACCAAACGAAACTCTTCCTCAGAGATTTGCTATCGGTGATCGCGGTGGAAATTTGATCGTCGATAGTGTTCAGTTTGGCTTCGACGAGCACCCTGATCTTGTCGTGTTTTAAGGCCTTCCATTGCAGACGACGTGAAATGAACTTCAGGGTTACTCACGCCAGCCCCAATTTCTAACCCGAGGGCGACGGGTGCAGCCACGATGGTGGATAACAAACAGATGCCGCACGCCGAGTCCATTGCCAGCGACCAAGAGAGTCGTGTCAAACCCTGTCAATGGCATTGATGGCTGGATGGTGCTTTTTGTGCAATCCTAGTTGCTCGTCGCCTTCTAGTTCCAGTTGGTGTTAGATTCCGCCGATCTGTCACAGCCAAAATCCATCAACAGTTTCAAGCGTTTGAGCCACATCGTCCATGGCCGGATACAATCCCATCTCGAGTATATGACGAGTTTAGGAAATTAGCTTCAATTGGTCCACCGTCAATTTTTGTTTAATATATTGATAGCTTATGAGGTTGAGATTGCCATATAAATAAACCCTTGATACTATAACGGGTTTCGTGGTATCTGGAATGCGAACAAATACTCCCACAATGTTGGTCGTGGGAACTGTTCCAGGTTGTTTATAAATACGGCAACGTTGATGTTTATGTTCGCTACCCCAGCGTATGTTTACCCCATCCAAAAGGATCACCTCATTTTCGGAGGCATTTCTATAATCAGTGTTGAATGTAATTTCATGCTGAAATCTGGATTTATAAAATCAAATTGAAATGGGGGAATACTAAATATCAGTGCGGCTTGTTTATGGGTGTGGTCTAACATAGAGCCACTCTGATCTGGTATTTGCAAAAGTTGTATCGAATGAGGTGCTGGAGTGGCAGTCGTCCAAATAATCCCTTTATTTTTTACTTCGATGATGTAACCATTATCATCTAAACTTATGTAGGAATAGATGAATTTAAGGTTAATAAACCAGTCAACTTTGATTTGGGGTTGACACGTCGCCAATGGTAATGCACGTATTAGGGAAGAGCCTTCAACTGATTCTCCGACAATTTCTCGTGCGTAAACTTTAAGCTGATAAGATGGATTTTTGGATGTAGAAATATCCTCGTGAGCGATTGTATTCTCCAAGTTAATCGTGACTTCTTCGAGACTTGCATAAGCGTTGCCATTTTTCTGCATGTAAATCGAACACACATGATTTCGATCTTTTTGAGGCCAACGGAGGTTTACTCCCGTTATAATTTCAAAATCTCTGTCGGGTGATGCCTCCCTGAGAAAGACTTCGATATAAAGCATAGAAATGTTTGGAATCAATTGTGTGAAATTGGTTGTGTCTTTGAATTCAAGCACCAACTGTAAACTCATATTTCGACTATCCGATCGACTCACTAGCAAATGACCCGCTTTATTTTGGATGAGGCTCACGAGCACACTCCTCCGTTTTGAGGGGACATAAGCCGGATGAGAATCAACTTTTTGAGGACTTTCCCTATTTATTAGCCAGTCGATTTGGGAGGAGATCAATGTCCATTGATTATCAACGGTTAGGACGAACTGGTACAACACGTTTTTTAAGAGACCTCGGGTCTCGACATTATCTAAATTACCTAGATTGCCATCGAATGCCAGGATCATCACCCATGTGTTATTGTCATTGAGAACGAGATTGTACTAGATGTTTTTTTGCTCAGCCCTCCATTGACGATATCATCTAAATCTCCTAGTTTACCACCACCACCACCGCAGACTTCCGCTCGCCTGTAAGTGTTGTTTCTTAATTCTAAGGTATATTGTTTGCCTTCGACCCCTGGGTTGTCAAAGCCTCGTGTGTCCCCGAGGTCGGAGATCACTGTGGTATGGCATTTTCTTAATCGCATGACAGTTCCGGGACCCGAAGCTTGAGTCATGGTTGTTTGATGTGCAACATGGCGCTGAGATAGCTGTTATGCATGGGTTTATGTTTTATATCTAAAACGTATAGTTTGAGTTCCGTGATGTTGCCCAGCGTTAGCTTTTTGTACTGCAAGGTTGAAAACGATTCCTTTCTGCCTTCATTGCAGTGCAACGTTTTGATGGGCAAGGCTCTCAGCAGCGTTGAAGGACGTTCGCCTTGAATGTTGTCCGTCGTGCTTACCCGGTCAGATGAACATACACCTCGTGATAAACCATGAGGCTAGGTAATTTGTACCTGAGACGGTCTCTAGGGGTGGTATGTTGCCCGATGGCAACCTGAGCGTTCTCGCCAAGGGCCTACTGAATCGGATTGGTTTTTCCCTATTCGTGAACATCAGCATGCCATTCGACTCGTTGTGTTTGAGGCTGGCTGCCATGGGTTCTGTCGCTCAGCATGCACATGCTGTAATAACCTTTCGACAAATCGTAGCGTTTGCCATCGGAGAATAGCCTGGCGTTCCCTTGACATTGACTGATGTTCGTCCATCGCGGGTAGTAGGTGAGATCGCAGAGCGCGACTTCGAGGTCCCCCGTCATGTTATCGATTGCGTGCTGCAGTAAAATGGGCTCGACATTCGTGATTCCTGGGAGCGTGACATACATGTTACACATAACCTCACCGCTTCTGATTTAATGCAAGTGAAGATCGTGGTGATTGTGAAGGATGGTACTCCCTTTCAAGCTCTACTTATCAATGTATTTGAAAAGTATAGGCTTAATTCGGTCACGATTATAAGAACAGTATACGCTTGGTTTAATAACCTGATGCACTTCTGGCAGAATCAATTCAATTTTGCCGTGTGATGTGCGACGACGGGCTGCGGCGTGACCTTGAGCAACACAAGTCGTGATCCGCTGAGTCGGTCTGTGTTCTTTTTTCACGTATTTTATGAGATCAGGCGTATCCTCAAAGAAATCAGTGCCCCGATTCCACAGGACGAGGCAAGGGATGCATTGAACAATCCATACAATCGGCATGCGTACAAACGGATTTGTGATTAATTCAAAATCGATCCGAACAGGGATTGGCGTATACCGGTAGCAGCGAACCACTGGTTGGGTATTCCGTGCAGCGGAGGGCATTCCGTGAAGGAAGTCAGTGATGATTTAGTGAGAAAAGGTCAGCTGGATTGGGAGTTTGCTCTGGAAGGTAATGAATGGCGAGATGATAATATGAATTTTACGAGTGGTGCCAATTTCACCGTTCAAAAGGTGGAACAGCCTGAATACGATAAAGAGGATTGGAAAATGTTCCTGCTGGATACATCGGAAGGGTTCACTCGCGCAGGTAACTTACGGCTGAACGATTCGATTCGAACATACGTGTGGGCACTGCTGGGCGCGCAGTCGCAGATGCGTTCCGGCATCGTGGGTGGTGGGACGGCATTCGACGTGCAGAAACAGTTCATGTCGAACGTCATGGACGCCATCGCCAGCCCGCTTGATTTACAGGCGTCTATCAAGCGATACCAGGGCACGTTGAAATACGCCCGGTCGAAAGTGGACTACGTGTTCGGCATGGGACTGTACATGGCTTCGAGCGACATGCGACTGAGGATCTGCAAAGTGGTGGGTTGCAACAACGAAATTGTCATCGTGACCGCCAATCAAACGTTGGACATCAACGTCAACGTCCACCACGCCCCACACCCCACGAGTACCGGTGAAACGGGCATAGTAAAACCACTACCAAAGCCACAGAAGCCCAGTATTCAACCACCACGCCCCACATCAGCGGTCGAACATCGCGGTCGTGAAACGGGGCAGACGGCTGATCTGGGATCGAAGCTCATCTCGGATGTACGACACCGCTTCTAGTTGGGTCGATTGTTTTTGTGCAATTGATGTAGCCTTTCCTCGAACCGACGTCGGCTGATGTCGTCATCCATATCGTCCACTTGTTCGAGTTTGGTTGTCTCATAAGCGATATGATCGTCGAGTTCTTTCACTTTGGTCATGTTGTCCACGAGCGATCCACGTCTCTCCGATCATCTCCGGCGGTGATATTGTTGAGTCCAGCCCTTGCATTTTCTAGATCTTGGACTACCTGGGGTGGAAGTTGTTTGTGTCATTCGACGCCATAATCTCGCAGGTTTAATTCGTCGTGATCGAATTGGGTGCCGTGACCACCAGCCAGAATCGACAGAGCAAGCGTTTTTCTCGTGCGGGTGTTCATCTGATCGATCTTAGCATCCGCTCTCAATCGCAGCATGCGATTAAGAGTTCGTCGAGTTCATCGCTCAAGAGATTGCTCATTAACGACTTGTCTGTGCAATCATCATAATCATCGAGCGACGGGGTTCTATGATCCCAGAAATCGTCCATACCAATATCGTCGCCACCTTCAGCCATGTTTGTATTGAAGATATGAAAACATACATTCAATATAAACAATGTCGTCACAATACGACCATAAACTAAACTCTTTCCGAAGATTGAGAGAACCCCTGGGGGTCAAAGTAATGTGTCAGTCGGTGACGATCACCAACAATCCGAGCCTCATCGACGAAAACCAAACGCTGTTGGTGCGCTTTCCCAACCTGGGCGTGGACGACGTCATCATCCGGGAATGGCTTGCCTGTCTTTCCAGATCAGTTTGGAATCCGATGATAAACGCGAAGTTGTAGAGAACCTGGGTCACGCCATTGTGAAGAAAACAACCATCAAACTCAGCGGAAACGAAATTTTGAGCATCGACGACAGCATCATGTTCTTCAGCTACACGGACTTCTGGAGAACCACGAGCGAGCGGGGAAAACATGAAGTACCAGGGATTTGTCCGGCCGACGGTCCGTCGACTCGGTTGTGCATGAGACACACTCCATATCATTGTCAATAAGTGCTTCTGGGAAAAGCAGAGACTTGCAACAAGAAATGCAGGACCGAGGGGTACTGCAGCATACACATGATGTCCATCCGAAAGGGTTTCAAGAACTACACATGCGAAGTGTGCGGGATCAGTGTTAAATGTCCAACTGATTTATGACAAAAAGAAAGATTATCTCAACGAACGTAACCAAAAAAAAAATGAGCGCTTCAGTTCAAATGAGAGAAGGCTGATTGAGTTATATCCCTTTGAAACCAACAACCAAGTAGACATTTGACTTTGCATGTGAATATAGCAAATCAATTAGACATTTGACTTTGCATGTGGATATAGCAATCATGACTACCGTCCGCGAACTCAAAGTTCTCGCTAAAAGTCGCGGATTGGTGGGTTATTCTCGCATGAGGAAACCCCAACTGCTTACCTTGCTGGAAGACACCGAGCCAGTCAAGTTGAGATTTGTGCCGACACACCATGCCGTGGGTAAGTATCTGAGAAGGTGGAAAATGATCGTCAAGTCTAACGTCGTCGTCAACAGCGTAAAACCTCTGATCGCCGACAAAGTTGAAGAAGAGTTGGATGATTTAAAACGTATCAACTACCAGTTGACCATCCACATGTCACTCAACAAGCAGCAGACGGATGGCAGTACCGAGTCTGTGGAGCCTTATTTCAGAGGCAAGCAGAAAGTCGCTGGAACTATGGATGCACAGGGGCTCCGGGTGGGTGGTGGAAAGTGTCAACACCATCTATTTGGACATAGCTAACTACGTACCGAGACCTGCCACCTTACTGCAAAAATAAGAAAGCCATTAATAACATTGAAAATAAAGACGACGCTAGTGCAGTATATTTGGTGAGAGGTGGCTTATTTCCAGTAGCTATTAATAAGAATAGAACTCTGAGCTACCCCGAAGATGATGGGCTGAAATGGGATGGCTTAGTTAAACCCACACCCATTTCCTACCCGGCCCGATTTGAAAAACTAAGCCATTTAGCCATCAACGTCTTCAGCCACGAAGGCAATATGACCATCATACACCGAACCAGATCCATGCCCGATGATGTGTGCAGAATCAATTTATTTATGACCGAAAAAGAGGGTAAGTATCACTGTACACATATTGAAAGTCTGAGCAGACTGTTGTATGATCAGTCCAAACACGCCAGAAAGAAACATTTCTGTGAACGATGTCTGCACGGCTTCACCCGAGCCAACCTGCTGCAAGCACACTGGGAGGATTGTCGAGGCGTGAGAGAGACGGCGATCCAAATCGACGTGCCTCGAGAACATGAAAACTTCTTACAATTGATCAACCACAAACATCAAATGCCTGTGGAATATGATATTTATGCTGACTTCAAAGCACTCATCAAACCAGTTGACCACATCGCACCATCTCCGTAAAAAGGTTTACGTACAAAATGCAAGAACACCAAGGCTGCTCGTTCAGGTATGTGGTTGTTCGATAAGATGGTGAAACAGAGACTCCCGTGATCTACCGAGGTCCTAACGCGACCGAAACGTTTCTCACGTTCTTACAACGAGAAGAGAAAAACATGAGGGAAGCGTTGTCGGATCCTGCTCCCATGAATATGACGCCAAAGGATGAACTAGCTCACAAGCATGCTAAGTATTGCCACGTATGCGACCAACCCCTCAGCGGGGATGTCGTGAGAGATCATTGTCACATCACTGGACGGTACCGAGGTGCTCACAACACGTGCAACTTAAAACTTAGAATCGATCCCCAAAAAAAATCAACATCCCTGTGGTCTTCCACAATTTGAGAGGGTTCGATGCTCACTCGATCATGCAGGCCATCTCGAACATCAATGGCGATATCAAGGAAAATACATTTCGTTCTCGTTATCATGATCCTCACGCCGGATTCGAACAAAGGCTACATCCTCGAAGTGGATCTGGAGTATCCAGTGCCATTGTACGCTGCTCATAACAGCTATCCGCTGGCTCCCAAATGGTTGACGATGAACCGAGACTGGATCTCGGACTATCAACTAATGTTTCTCGGGAAAAATAAGCTGGCCAACGTGGAAAAACTCGACCCGAACATGATGCACTAGACCAAGTAATCTGCAACTGTACCTGTCGCTGGGCATGAAGCTGACCATAATACATTGGGTGCTGCAATTCGATCAAAGTCTCTGGATTGACCCTTATATTCGATTGAACAGCGAGCTGCGAAAACAGTCCACGAGCGACTTAAAAAAAACTCTACAAACTGGTGAACAACTCGGTGTTCGGCAAAACCATAGAAAACTTGAGAAAACGGGTGACGGTCAAACATGGCGATCTCATGAGGAAGAAAAACTCAGGAAACTCATAGCCAGCCCGGCCTTTAACTGGAGCAAACTATTCGATAACGACTTGGCAGCACTGCACATGAGCAAAAGCCACGTCAAGCTCAACCAGACCGTCTACGTGGGGATGAGCATTCTCGACCTCTCCAAACACTTGATGTATGATTTCTACTACAACTCAATAAACAATATGGCAATCGATGCGAGCTGCTGTACACGGACACAGAT